TTTTTTTTTTTTTTTTTTTTTTTTTTGATTAACAAACCTTGTGGTAATTGCCCTGGTTCTATTTTGACAGAGTTTTCTTGGTCTTTTTTCTTCGCTCCTTTATTCCACCCCTCCATGCCTCTTCTCTTTCAAAGGATAAAATATCACACATACACCATTTGTTTTCATCCTGGCATTGCTACTGATCCTGTTTGTTTGTTTGTTTGTTTGAGTTGTAGTCTCACTCTGTCGCCCAGGCTGAAGTGCAGTGACACACTCATGGCCATCCCAGCATTGACCTGCTGGGCTCTGGTGATCATTCTGCCTCAGCCTTCCAAGTAGCAGGAACTATAGGCACACTCTATCATGCCCAGCTAATTTTTTATTTACTATAGAGATGAGGTCTTGCCAAGTTCCCTGGGCTGGTCTCAAACCTGTGGGTTCAGGCAATCCACTAGGCTCAGTCTCCTGAAGTGCTGGGATTACAGGCTGAGCCACCAAACCTGGCTACTACTGTTCTTTAAAATTGAGGGTAAGCATGTATTTACTTCATCTTATCCTGTTGAAAACAGCTTAGAGTGCCACGGGGCAATGGAAGTTTCTCTGATGATGGAAAAGGTGTATATCTGCATTATTCAATGTAGTAGCCAGTAGTTGCTTTAAATAGGCTCATGTGGCTATCATATTGGACGCTTCAGGCATAGAGTTTATTTTTTCTAGAGGTAAATAAGAATTATGTCCTTCAGAGACTTTATTGAAGGTTTCTGAAGATAATAGAGACAAATCCACACAGACTATTTTTCCCAGTTTAGAAAAGCGTAGCTCAAATCTTTCTTCTCTACCAAGATTTTAAAATGAAATTTGCCCTAATGATAGGATGTATTACCACTGTCAATACTAACTATATATGTGATAATATTTGACCTCTTAGCATTCACATTTTCTGGACTAATGATATCTCTAAATAGATTGTTGTAAAGTTTATGTGAGATAATGTGTGTGGTGTATAGTCACTACAAAAATAATTTTTATTTCTTCTTCTGATATATCTCCTTCTAAAAACAATACTTTCTGAAGACCACAGAGTATTAAACTATCACATGCTAGTATTATTGTATTTAATAAATACATTTCATCTGGCTTGATTTGTGCACAGAAAAAATACTCTCAAAGAAGAAAGGAAAGAAGTAATTAGATTATCTTAGAGGAAGTAAGATACCTTGAAGGCAAACTTCATCAACTTAATGTTTCCACAGAGCAGAACAGCAAGAGAAAACAAACAGACAAACAAAAAAACAACTTAGCCTTAACCCTTAGCTAGGGTCCTTTTCACTCCTAGGTCTAATGGGTTCTGGTGCAGTTTCTGAAAGTCAACAACCTTCTCTTCAACTGCTGACTCCTTAGAACACTTTGGTCACAAGCATCTTGTAGCTCCAGTACCTCCCATCCAGTTTGGTAGAGCTGGACGAAAGCACTGACATAGCAGGCTGCAGCCAAGAGCACCAGTGATAACATTCAGTTGATCAGCAACAAGGACAACACATACATATTTAGCTTATCTTTTTTTTTTTTTTTTTGAGTTGGAGTCTCACTCGGTGGCCCAGACTGGAGTGCAGTGGCCACTCCCGGCCACCGCAGCCTCACCTGCTGGGCTCTGGCGATCCTTCCGCCTCAGCCTTCCGAGTAGCCGGAATTACAGGCATGCGCTACCATGCCAGGCTGATTTTTTGATTTATTGTAGAGATGAGGTCTCGCTGCCCAGGCGGGTCTCGAACCCGCGGGCTCGGGCAATCCACTCATCTCAGCCTCCCAAAGGCTCAGGATTACAGGCTGAGCCACCGAGCCCGGCTAGCTTATCTTTTTAAAAGAACACCATGGTTACACTAGGGTTTTAATTTCATTGACTTTGTGGTTGTTTTCTACCCAGTTCGCCTGGAATAGAACATGGCAGGGAACTCTCAACAACAGCGTTTCTTGTAACAACGTAATCCCTACTCAAATTGTTTCCATCAGAGTGAAAATTCAGGACATCATGTTTTCAAAGTGCTAAGATGATTTTTGGAGCATGATACCAGAGTATTGGCAGAGAGTAGAAGTTGGTGTTCTCCTCTGCTGACCCCTCACCAGCTCTAAAACGGACATTGGGAAAACTGTGACATCTCTTAGTTACAGATTATAATTTGCCTAAAAAAGAGAAAAAGAAAAGGAAAGAGAAAGTGCTAAAATGAGAGTTATAGTGCTGTACAGGATTGCTGTGTGAATAAATGAGATCACAAAAAAGCAAAAGGGAGACTTTACTAGGTTACACAGCTCTATCTAGACTTATGACATTCATTTAAACGGAGCTCCCAGAATCTGAGATGCTTTAGAGTGACTTTATATGTCTGATTTAATGATTTAAACACTTATTTTTAAACTATTTTAAAGCTTTGATAAAAATGAATATTTTCTAAAATAGGTTATGTACCAATTTCTATACCTTGGAAATCAACAGTTCATTAGCTTGTGATGTTAGGTTAACTAGTTTTGAGGCTGATCTAAATTTTTTCTAAAAGGACTTTTTCCACCATCACTGAATTATGAAGACTGTAGCTGTATTCAAAGTCTTATAAAGTCCAGCCTCCATATAGCCACTGAGCTAAATTTGTATTAGTAGGTACCCAGTAGAGCACATACACATTAAACTTAAAATGTCAGACAAAGCTCAGGGGCATCCTCCAGTCCGTGAACTCCTTCTGCTCCTGCTGCTACACTACAGACTGCAAACAATGTGTGGAAGCTCACACAAAGCCATTTGGAGAGGAGAAAATACAATGACATTTATTTGTACTATAAGTTCATGTTTTATAGCAAAATAGAACAAAAAATTACTCACTTTCTCAATGGATTTCATACCATGAAATTTTGTAAAATAGTTCTGTTATCCCTGCAAAGCTACAATAGCATTAAAAAAAGCATATAAACAAGGCTCTCCATTTCTTTTGAAGATAAAATCCTTGAAAATAAATTGAAGCCTGACAATGAAAATGTATTTTTAGCCTAAAGTTAACACTTGTTGAGTTGTTTGAGTTCCTTGTGGATTCTGAATATTCTTTGTTGGATGCATAGCTTGCAAATATTTTCTGTGCTGATATAATAATTACAAAAGTAGAAAACTCTGCAGGTGAGGTAGCTCCTGCAATAGAATATTGCAGAAGTCCTTGTGAAGTAGAGCTGCACCTTGAATAAGGATTTGATTCTCAAGTTGGCACCACTGGCAAAATCACATATAGTCAATATTGTACTTTAAGCCCCACTACAATTCTAATAAAGTTAGAATGCATATATCTTTGGGTACAGACTCCTGGCACTCAAAACATTTTTCATTTGTATTTACAGTAAAATTCTCAATTGTGAGTGAATTTCTGAGAACAAAATCTAGAACTTCCCCTGCTTTTCTGCAGGCTTTACATCTGATTTATATAATAAACCTTTAAAACCCAATATACACTAATAGATGTGTTTGTTTGGGTAAAGGTGAAGCAAGACAGAGGAGCTGTATCTTAACCTACAGCTAGGATTTAAAGTCAGTTTACAATGTATTATATGTCTAGAACTGACAGCTTCATGTGCTAGCTATGTATTCTACAGGTCTTAGTTAGAGCTTTCAAAATACTGTTTGCTAACTTCCATACAAACTCAATTAAAATATTATTTTTTATTGAAAACTTTTCAAAATTATTTTTAAATATGTAGGCAATGAGTTCTAAGATTTTATTTTTTCATGTACAAGTTAGCTTGCTTGGGGTTGGTATGAATAATTCACCAAATATATTACTGATAAAGAAAGTATATTAGTTAACTGTTTTTTAAAAATATAATATGCTTGCACTGGTTTAGTACCTTGCTAGTGTTTTTTACCAACTGAACAAACTCAGTTTGGCAAGGCAGAAATGTAGCTTTTATTCTGCAAATAAAATCTTAGGGATGGACTTAAAAAAATCTTGAACTAGTGTAGAAAATATATATGATTATTTTGTTGCTTTAAAGATTTGATGGGGGAACTGAAGAATCTTTTAATTTTAAAGTAATTTTAGTTGTAGCAAAATATGATGGGAGAATAATTTTAAAAGTCACATAGTGGTAAGAGACAAAGAACATCAGTCACTTGACTCCCCACAGGCAAATATGTTCAATTCTTCAGTTATTCTTCTGATATTTAGTTCTATGTATGTAAATACCACTGTTATTGTTGACTCATAAATTTTAGATATAATTTGATTTTCTATTTTGAGAGATTAGGATTTCGACTTATATAGGGGTTTCTTTCCTTACCATTATTCTTTATATAAAATTTTGGTAAAACTCACACACATCTTTTCTTGTTACACTATAAATATAGTTTCCTCTGTGCAAAATAATATTCTTTAATTATATTTGCTCCCTGAACTGCTTTCTATATTTTCCTGGAGATAATCTGCTTATTTTTACACTTATTTAATTCTCTTTGAATAGTTCAGCTTTATGTAGACTCCAGGAAATCCAAAATTGTTTTCTATGTGGTCCAACCTCTCAGATCATTTTTCAGTTGCATTTTTGCTCTGGAGAACAAGTTCTTTGAGCCCTTTGCCCTCCTGCTGCATCAGAATTCTTTGCTTGCCAGACTTGGTGAAGCAGTGGTATGACTTTCCTGCTATTCTGAGACTTCCCTTCACCTCTTCTCTGTGCTAAATTCCAGGTTTCTTGATCTCCATGTCTCCTATTTTCTGGTTTCTTCCTATATTTTGTTGAAGCACACCTAATAGCATCCTGAGAAATTGTGCATGGGAGATAATTTCCTTTGAAATTTTGCATAATTTAAATTGTTTCATTTTACCCTCATATTTAATTGATTGTCCTGTGACTCTGCAGTTCTAAGACGGCACTTTAAAAGAAAAGAATTGTTTTATTATCTTCTAGCTGCCAATGTTTGCGATGAAAAATTCAATGCTGTTCCTTAATTTTCATCTTTGTTAGTGGCTTTGTTTTTCTTTTCTGGAACCTATGACTGTCTTCTCTTTATTTGAGGGGAGTAATATGTCAGTATTTTCTGTTCTATGCAGCTTATACTAACTGAGTCCATATAAGCCAACCGTTATTTGTTTCTATCAAAATTACCTGCCCAAAGAGTTAAGTAAAAGAAAGAGAGTAGGACAGCTGTGGCTATTATGTGGAATTTATTCACTTTCTAAACTCCACGTCATCTCTTCCAGGTTGTTAGTGATAATCCATCCTTCTCAATTTTATCCAAAGAAGTTGCTCATCTGCCTTGTGCCATGACACAGCTCTGGGGAAGATGAGTTGTGACCTTGACTGCTTACTAAAATGTTCAGGAACCAGGCGACTACTTTTCTTTTGCAGGGCAGAGTTGCATGCATCTACAGCAGCTACATTTTGGTGACATTAACAAGACAGACTGTACTCCTCCTGTATGAGACTTAGTATAGATGAGTAATTTTTTATAGTGGGAAAATTTATAGGCTTTGTTTTACTGTATTTTGTTTATTTTTAATTATGTTTTTAAAATTGTAAAATAATACATATAAATGCAAAAAAAGAAAAAGAAAATTTATTCATAATTCTAGAGGTGATAAATGCCTACTTTGGCATGTGTTATAGAACTTTGTATGTTGTTTTTCACTTTAACAGTTTGTAAGGAACATTTCCCCATATAAATAAATATTATTGCACAAATTGTACAACATGAGTTTTTAAATACTTAGCATGTTTTCTTTTTTAATAGACAAATAAAAATGTATATATTTATGATGTTTAATATGATGTTTTGATATATGTATATATTGTGGGTTAGCTAGCCGAGGCTAATTAACATATGCATTGCAATATATTACCGTATATTTTGAGGAGTAAGAACACTTAACATCTACTCTTCTGGCAATTTCCAAATATATAATACACTATTATTAACTACAGTCACTATGTTTGTACAATACGATTTTTGATGTTTGCATAGTGTTTGATTGTATGAAATTGTCATGAGATGTATGCTCACTCTCTTAGGCTTTGAGACTTTGGGAATTTTTTTGTTTGTTTTTGTTGTTTTAAAAATTACAGAACCACAGAGGCTCAAGTTTTATCAGTCTATAAGTAAAAATAGACTCACACTAAATTAATTTTCAAATTATGATGTTTCACAGCCCCTTCTTGCATGATGAAAATCTCTATTAGTTATTTCTGGAAGGGCCTGTAGATGTCTTATTTGTGTGCAGGAAAAAGTCAATGTATATATTTTTTTCCTTTTCTAGAAAGTCCCATCCACAGTTATTTGGGGAGGGATCTTGACTCTGCTGTTAAGGCTGACATCTTCTGGTGGGGTGCTGCTTCTAAGCTGGCTCTTGTTACATCTCCACAGGTGCTTTGCAGGGTTCTCAGAACCTGCCGCAATCTTGTTCTTGTAAAAAATTGGACAGAATGTGCCTTTTCCTATTTTGAGCGGGATTTTGTTTTCTAGGACCAAGGCAGTAATCCTTATGTCCAAAGATATGAAAACAGTCCTTCAACTCTGGCTTTAGATCGTCCGTCTCCATCTAATCAGAAGTGTGCACAAACCTTTTAGAATATATAGATGACCAAGTGATACTTCAGATCCACTGATATAATCTTCAAGGTGGAACCTTAGTATGTGCCTTTAAAAGTTCATCAGGTGGCTTTGTTTCATGTACTAGATTCTGTTCGTATCCCATGCAGACCCTGGCATCATACAATTCTCTCAGCTCCTATAAATACTGTGGTTGATAGCTTACACTTGCAGTGTCCAAGAGGATTGTCACCTTAGCTGCAAATGTCAGGGAAATTGCACTAACCTCATAAAGAATTTATTGTGAAGCATCCTCTCATTAAGTCATAAGTACCTGCTCTGTTGGTGGGAATGTAAATTAGCACAGTCATTATGGAAAACTGAATGGAGTTTCTTCAAAAGTTAAAAATAATACTACCACGTGATCTAGCAGTTCCACTTCTGGGTACATATCTAAAGAAAATGAAATCAATGTCAAAGAACATCTGCACTCCCATGCTCATTGCAGTATTATTCATAATATCAAACTCTAGAAGCAGTGCAAGTATTCATTAATGGATGAATAAAGAAAATGATACAGTGATACGTAGACATATACACAATGGAATATTATTGCCCATAAAAAGAAGAAAATCTTGTCATTTAGGACTACATGGGTGAATCTGGAAGACATTGTGTCAAGTGAAATAAACTAGGAAGAAAAAGGCAAATACCACGTGATCTCACAAGTGGAATCTAAAAAAGTGGACACTTAATAAATAGAGAGCATGGTCATTAACAGAGGGTGCAGTTGGCAGGGGTGGTCAAAGAGTACAAGATTATAGTCAGATAGGAGGAGTAAGGAGTAAGAGATCTGTTGTATCGCACGGTAATTATAGTTAATAACAAGATATTGGATTGTCACCACAAAAATGATAACTATGTGAGGTAATACCTGTTTTAATTAGCTAGATTCAACCATTCCGCAATGTATACTTAAAAACATCATATACTTTTTATACTTACACAATAAATCCATGCAATTTTATCTGTCAATAAAAATCAATAATAGTTACCTGAGATCATGTCACTGGCTCTGCTTCAATGAAATCTGACCTAAAACATTACGGGACCAGGTTACTATTCCAGAGGCTCATGCTCAGTCCTTGGAACTGGATAAGAGACAGACACCATGTTATTTCAACCACTGATCTGACTTCTCTTCTCCCCCTTTGGAGTATGCCTGTTCATGAACACACATACACACACACACACACACACACACACACACACACACACATGCACAGAGGATTATTGTCTTTTAAACAGAAAAACAAAAGTTACATGCATGCCATTTCATTTGTTACTTCTTGCTGCTACATTTATTGACTTTGGACACATCTCTTTTTATTTCTTAAACATCAGTGATTGCAATTGGAACTGCTGGACTGATCATAAAACTTTTGCTTCATTTTGCTGGTAGTTTTTCTGAGAAATAAAAGGTTTCCATTCCCTAACACCCTTACTAGGGCTGCCTAGCTTTCTACCCTAGTTTCTCAGGAAAGGGGAAGAGTCAGACAGATATAAATGGTGATGATATTCTCTGGTTAGCAAAAGTGGCATGGAGTATAGATAAGGGACTGCCTAGAGGTATAGGGTAGAGAGGATTTGATGTTAGATCACTTTGTGGCAAGGACAATACCATGTGAAATAATGATTCTCACATGAAAGGAGAGACTAAGCTGTTATCTGAGCCAAGAAGAAGAATGTATGTTCATTGAGGGATGCTGCATAGATTGCTTTCAATCACCCTTTCCCAACTCTGCAAGGTGGAAAAGATCTGATGTAGCTGCATTCTGTCTAAAGACATGAACCCAATCATGCTATTATGAAATGAAATGGTAAAAAAGAAAAGAATAAATAGCTTGTGAATGGAGCAAAAACTCTTTTATCCCCCCTTCTTCGGAATATTTTTTGCTTTGGCATGAACTGTGAGAAGTGCTGTTAAGTATGTTTGTGAGTTTGTGCAATTTGAGTGTATGTAAGGAATTACTATGTATAAATATTTTTCCTCTGTGGGACTTCAAGACTGCCCATAATAATATTGTTTTCGTCCATTGGTAAATGAATATGAAAATTTCTGAACACTTGCATCTGCTAATTACAGATATTTTCAAGGGAATTTGGGGGGTTAAGAGGATTCTCTGACATTGGGGACACTCTATTTTGTAACATTCTGATAATCTGAGGATTCATAGGCTTGAGGTTTTGAGGAGAGTGGAAACAATCTTAAAAAATCCCATCTTTGGGGGGGGAAGTATAGTACTTTTAATTATCATTGCCTCAATTCTCATGAGGTAGTAAATCTGAGGCCTACATGTGAGTAGCTATTCTTTTAGGTCCTTGCCTTGAAGGTACATAAATCAATTTATTAACGTTTATCCTGGAAGTAGGTTAGCATAAAATGACTGGTTATTTGTATATTTTACCTCTATTGTCGCTTCTTCCAAACATTTTTTTAAAAGATTAAATATCACCTGGCTAAGAACCAGAGGGTCCTAGGTGCATTTCCCCCAGATAATACTCTTGCTCAAGAGTGGCCAACAATCAGCACATTGTATACAGTAGAGACCGTGGATTCTGGTGCCACAGATATACTCATAGCCACCCTGAATTATCCTGGAAAGCCAGAGAAGAGTTTTTGCCAGGGACTCCCCTAAACTCTTCTTTGAAACTGACCTTATTAAATTTCTGCTGGGGTAATTTGCTCTGGGGATCTCCTGAGTTACTTGAATGAATAAAAATAAACTGTCAGTCTTTGACCTGACTCTAGTTAGTAGAACAGGGTTCATGAGGAGTTAGCAGGGCTTCTATTTCAGGGTACAGGGAAAGCTCATGTAGGATAAAAGCTTCTAGTTCTTTTTGCCTCAGATCCCTTATCTTCTCCCTCCTATAATCTCCTGTTCTCGTTTGAAAATACAAAGTTATGCTAATGCAAAAAAGAAAAAAATGACTGATAAATTATTTTTCCCTCTCTCACCAGGGAACGCATGTTGTTCTGGGGACAAAACTGAGTACAACTTCTTTTCGAGCCTTAGGGCTGGTGGCTGGGTTTCCTCTTTTAATTTCATCTCACCATCACACTATTCAGGCCAATGACGTGTCTGAACTTATATACAAGGGGGGACCCCAAAACCCCAAAATTCTCTTTCAGAGGGTGAATCTCTTGTAGTATAGGCTTCTCGCGCTAGGTAAGTGTTCTAGGAATGCATCAGCATTAGTGTAGCATTTTGTGAGAGGAGGTGTTGGCTTCAGTGATTTTTTTTTTTTTTAGATTCTTTCAGCAAGGTACTACTGAGTGTTCAGCAGTTTTTGACCAAAAATGGCATGAGCTGCATGTCCCACCTTCCCTGTTCACCCCATCTTGCCCCCAGTGGATTTGATTTTTGCTTCCCCAGATGAAAAAAGTCTCAAAAGCAAGTGTTTTGCCAATGTGAAAGAGGTGAAATAAAAAATGGCAGAAACACTAAAAGGCATCAAAACTGATGAGTTCAAAACTGTTTTGAGAAGTGGAAAATGCATCTTGATAGGTGTATTGCATCAAAGGGAGAGTGCTTTGAAGGTGACTAAAGTTTAAAAATGTGAGAATATATATACAATATTTTATAAATAAATCCTGCATTTTTTTGGGTTCCTTCTCGTAGAATATATCTGAACCTCAGTTACTGACATAATTGTAGCTATTTTCCTAGGATGATCCTCTTTCTTTGTACATGTTAATGGCTGTTGACAGACACTTAGTGGAAGCAGGTGCTCTCTAGATACATGCAAAATCTGCAATTAGATTTAACCACATAAAATAAGCTGAATAAAAAAATAATTAATGGTAAAAATGTGTCTGTCAGGATGGTTAATAAGAATAAAATATTAAAACAAAGTGTGAGTACATAGCCCTTGGACTGACATCTCCCTCAAGGTCAGATGAGGGCCACGGGTAGACCCTCTGGCAGCCATGAGTCTCCATGTCCTCTAAAGGCTATTCTTCCCAGCATGTTCCCTGTGGGACACCTGGAAGGGAGGCGAGATGGAGAATCCAAGGCCAGACAAGCTACTTATTCCCAGCTCTTACACATATGTTGCATAAGAACATATGCAATTTAGCAAGGACTTGCAGGAGCTGTCCCAAAGTCACTCTAGAC